CCATTTTCTGATCATTCAGTTTTTCTTTCTCCATGAATCTGTAGAATCTTGCAAGTGCTCAGTACAGGCAGTACAGATTTATCAAGCATGAAGCTGGGAAACTTCATATACAAAGAATGTCTTGGGTCCACTGCTGTTTGAGCAGCAAATTTGGTCCATATTCTGCTCTTTGACACCTTTTCATGAACTAGCCTTACAAAGTGAATGATAGATCTATTTTACTGTAATAAATGTTAACTAGGGGTTAAAGGAAAAATGGACAGGGACTACAGCAAATGCCAGCACAGAAATCACAGATTAAATTACAAAGTTAATTCAAAATATTTTTTTCACACTTTCCAATTAAATCCCTGGGGACACTAAGCAAGAACTGAGAGGGGTAGAGGAGCTGTTACATACTTCAGTCCAAATTTGTGTCATTGTTATACTGATAGTATCAGTATTATAACTTCTCAAAAGCTTACAGGAATAAAAGGAAAGAAACAAGATGAGAAGAGCCCAGACCCTCAGTCAGTAGTGTTTGAGGGGAACAGACACAGAATCCCATAGTCAATTATTAACCAAGGTCAATATTTATGGCACAGAGAATCATTTTAAGTGTACATTATTTATGTAGTGACTTGTAATGAGCACTTCATGCTCGAATAGAGATTGTATATACTGGGATAATTTTAATAAGAAAGCTGCCTGTCATAGGAAATAGGATACATCTCCTCGGAAGTGGTCTATGTGTCTGTCTGTCTCTCAGTCTTGCTCTCATTGAATCAGTCAATATTTTCCACCATTATAATTCATGATCAGAAATATCCTTCAGCTGGAAGTTGGCAAGAATGGAACAAGATGTTTGAGACTTTGGTTTTGAAGCTCTTATTTACGTAAACTGAATCCAGACTGTGGATTTTCTTGAAAAGTGGTAATGTAACCTAAATTATGTGAGGAACTCCAGCTATCCATTCCACATACCCAAATTGACAGAGGCCACTGCTGGGAGCATTTTTATTCCTCAACTTGATGAAGTTTCTGAATCATGCTTCCACTTGCTTCATGAATCCTTCCTTCTCCCAGAGTGTGCATCAAGGACAACGATGTGATAAAAACTCTTGAACCAGGAAATGACAGCTTTGCTGTGACAACTGCTGAAGAAGCAAGTGACTGGGTTATATGACTGTAACATATGAACCCTTGCATTTGGGATTTGGCTTGTGTTCCACACATTCATGCAGCATCAGTCATTCACTTGAGAGACTGCTCTTTATGCCGTTGTTCTCACACACACAGAAGAGTATCACAGTATGCTGAGTCAGGCTTTAAAGGAATTTAGGCATATAAAGATGCTGAATGGCTTCTAATAGGATTTCCAAATATGCCTAAGCACAAAGCTTCTGAAGAGCACCTCTGAAACCCCCATAAAGCAGCTATGTGCACCTTAGAGTGCTTGAAAATCTTATAACTGAAAGCAAGCAAATTTCTTACACTTTTTAGCTGTGAGTTTCAACAGGGTCTGGAGAGCTTTAAGTGTTCTGGACTCTTCAGTTGTTGTGTCCTTTGAAAATCTCAGCCTAAGACCTTGTCCATTGCCAACAACATCAAAGAGAGGAAGCTCAGCAAAGTGATTTAGAAGTTGGTACTAACAAGCACTCTAAATCAATCCAAAACATGTCTCATGGTGGGTGATGTCTGCTATTGATCAAAAGGACAGGACAAGTCAAGTCCAGGAAACATGATTGGGAAAATAATAAAACAGCACCAATGAATGTTTCAAGGTTTTCCTTAGCTTGAACGACAGCACTAAAGTACACTGCTGGCTGAGAGGTGATCATCTGTGGGATACTCCCTAGACAAAGAGGAGACGTTGTACATTAGAGGGACAGTAAAAATTAATTTCCCTTCTCATGACCTTCTGTTTATTTATGTTCTTAACATTAAGACCATACACAACTAACTCCTTTCTGACAAATAATACTCTTCTTGCTTACCTAGCACAGTAGATTGGTACTTTTTAAGGACCTGGCAAAGCAGTCAGTGTGTCTGTGAAAAAGCTGTGGGAGATACTGTCAGCTCACAGACCTGCTGATGGAATTAGATAGCCTGGAAAATGTAGAGAAGTTGGGAGACATGCTTCCTGGACAGGGCTCTACTCAAAAAGATCCATCTATAGGGTATTTATCTTACCCAGAGGAAGCTTTTACCCTTGGGTTACTGAAGACACCTTCTGTCCCAAAAGAAGGTAAACTATTGGTTTTTGCATGCTGGGTAGAGTTGGGCTGTTTCTTCTTTTTCTGTCAGAACTGAAAATCTGGTTGAGAAGCGCCTTTCTGGCACGATTTCCAAAGGCCACCCACACATCCCTGTAACTTAAATCTCTATACTTAATGTAGGGGTAACATGTCTCCCCAGGGAAGAGGAGGGAGGGATTATGTTGCAGAGTTACAAACATCTGCAGGGAGGGAAGCACATCAAGCATGTATGTTTCACAGAAGGAACTCAGGAGAGGGGGAGAGAAAAGCTCTTTGTTGTCTGATAGGAAGGATGTTCATGCTTCAGGGACAGATGAGGAAGGGGATGTGAGGTCGTGACTGAAAGAGGTGAGGTGAAAAAGGGCTGAAAGTCACCTGATATGAATTCGCAAAGGAAGGGAGGGGGCCCTGTGATAGTAGGGTTGCTTATTGAAAATGTGACCTGACTGCAGGCTGTCCTGGAGATACCACCCCTCATATATGGGCTATGGGCTGAACCACACTATCATGCATCAAAAACTGGACTGGGAGACACCGTGAACCAGCAGCCCCCCTTCCTCATGTCAGTGTCTTCTCCTTAGATGTGGATTTTAGCCAAACAGATCAGTTTGCACACTTGCTTTTTTTTTTTTTAACATAATGTAGTTAATTAATTTTAAAATAACAACCTTAAAGCTGATCCAAGCTACTCCATTGCAGCTGTATGAAAAACTACACTCGTCCAGCTGGGCTGCTGCAGAATAACTCAAGACAGCTGGAAACATGGTTAAAGAAACCTAGTCCTCCACAGCTGGGATCCCTAATGAAAAAGTATCGTGTGACGATCTCAGAGAATTGCTACTACAGAGGAGAGAAACCCTGGAGACAAGGGAAAGATAGTCTTTGGGAGGTGCAAAATTCTTATAGTCAGCCAGAGAAAGTAGTTGTGTGTGCAGAAGAGCCAGCTCAGCCTGGCTTCCTACGGATTTGTGCCTGTGGTGGGATTCGTGGCTGTCGGATCTGAAAGAGATGCCAAGTGAAGCTTTTATCAAAGCCAGGGAATTAAAAATATCTCTCTCTCAGAAGGATTCTCTTCTGAGTCTTTCCCCCAGTGAATGGATTAATAGTCTCCATCTCTCTCCTACCTGTTTGCCTGAGACTTGTGGGAATTTGTTACTGCTTTGTGTGACTGAAATAAAAAGAGCCAGTGGGTTAAAAATGCATCAGATTGAGGAAGAATATACACACAGACAGAATGTGATCCACTTGTTTAGGAAAATCACTGAAAATATAGCTGACATGAAACATGCTAATGCCACAACATATAACTTCTTTAGCCCCTGAACTGTCTTCCTGGTCTGGAAGTTTTTTTGTTATATAAGGAGTGGGAGAGGAATGACAGATCTGTGCAATAAGGGCACTGAGGGCTTAAAGCTGGCAAAAACAAACCTGTTATTTTCAGCTATTCTAAAGAGCTCTGGATAAGTGCAATCCTGCAAGCTGCCTGCCTACCCTAAGTAACAGGAGTTTCACTGGCTTGCATCAGCCAGCCTCTGGCTCTTCTTATGCTAACCAGGCCAGCATTATTATATTACATTTAATGGAGCTCCTTATGTCATTTCAGCCTTACTTCCTTTTTCTGATCCATGTGCTTTCCCTCCCTCCCATCACCTCTCCCTCACATCAGCTGGAGTATGCATACGTGCTCCTCTTTCCCCTGTACCAGACATCACTGCAGTGCAGTGCTTATGATTACAAATCATCTCATTAAAGCCAGACAGCCACTCAGCTGGATGCAAATTACTGACCTCCTCAATTTATGAATGTCAGATTTTTCAGGGTGGGAAGGGAAGGGGGAGCAGGGTGGAAAGCGTTCCATTAAATGGTATCCATCAACCCTATCACATTTATAAGCTAATAAAAAGGCTAAAATGAAGTTCATCGGGACTGTCTGGATCTAGTAGTACCAGCTGGTTCTATGAAATATTAATAGAAACAAGGCATGTTTCTGTGTTGGAGTCTGCTAGGTGAAGGGATGATACTATTATTGATAAGTTACTGTCCTGTCCATTCTTCTCTGTGACATGTTCAATTTGCCTTCTAGTAGTGTTAATCCTCCTCTGCATGTGACAAGACAAGGCTAAAACATTGGAGATCCTACTACTGAAGAATAAAGACACATATTATACAGGAGATCAAAAAGGTAGACTCAACTTGCAGGTGATATTATTTTGACTCTTTTCCATCATCTGTGAACTTTGCTGCCCACATGTAATTCAAACACAGAGCTTTGGCTTTAACTGGGAGAGGGAGATGTGTCAGGAAAGGTCTTGAACCTGAACCCTGAGAAAAAAAATGCAGACTGTAATGCAGAGTTCAGACCACGGAAACACTGCTTAGCAGCATGGCAGAAGAGCTTGATTCAGGCAGCCTGGACAATGAGGGTTTTCCCATTTTGGTGGCTGCTCAGTTCAGCAGGTTCTTAGACTTACTTTGAATTAGGAATAAATGCATGCTAAAAAATCTGCTGCCTGCTGAGAAACCTAGGCAACCCTGACATTCATATATCAAGGCAATTAGCTCAGCAGATCTAGACAGATAGGAAACCAACAGAAAAGCCAAATAATAAACAGGCCTGCACTAATCTCAAAGATCTACAGATGGTCCTTTCAGGTTGCATGAGCACTATAGCATTAGAGGGAAGGAAAATGTACCAAACGATGTCTGTCCTATGGCTGAGCAGACCATTTCCATCCATGTTAATATCAATTAAGCATTTCTCACCAACACTGAGAAACATTCTCCTCTAGCCTGGGCCAACCAGCTGGGCTGCTGGGGGTCTGCAATTACTGGGAAGTACAGACTGTAAAAGAGAACGAAAAAAACTAATAGAGAAGGTCTCTTTGAGACACTGCAGACAAGAGTTTCACAAAGACAGAAATACACACCATAAAATTTTTGTTCTTCTACGAGTTTCTCCTCCCAAGATAATGGCCAGTCACAAGCTTTTAGAGACAGAATAAATGCACTAGAACATATCCCTTGGCAGAGCCAGGCAGATGCAGTGATAAATTAGCTGGCGGGTAGAAGACTACCTACTGTGCAAAGAACAGGTTGTCAAACAGATTCATTTATGGCTGTAAGAGTGATCAGTTGGGTTCTGAACGGTTAGTGGAAATAATTATATCACATATAAACAGCTTGTTTCTTACAAAGAACAGATATGCCATTGACTAGATAGCAGAAGCACAACTTGTCATTGAGCAAACATAGAAACAATAAATTTGAAGCTTAAAATCAAATCCTTTAGAATTTCCCAAAAGAGTTCAGTTCAGAGGAAAGCCCAAGTATAAGCAATGTCAGTCAAAAAGGTAGCAGCAGCAATGAAAGGCTGGAGAGCAGTTTATAGCAATATATTTATATTTTTATTTCACCCAGAGGGGACAAGAGCCAAATGAGTCTTCAAAAAAACAGTAGTTATTGCACATGCAGACATCTATTCGCCAAGTGTCATGCTGCATAACTGCTTACAGCCAAAAAATATCCATTACTACAGTGAACAGATGTGAGCAAGAATAACAGGAAAGGAGAGCTGCTAAGAGAAGTTCTGCAGTGATATTCAGGATAATTCAAAGTACAGTAATACAGTCAGGGAATCTCTCCAGGCAACAGTAAACCAGCCGTATCCTCACAAAGCATTTATATTAGTCCTACTTTTTTTTGTGAACTGCTGGCATTTTAGACCATCTTTCAGGAGCAGATTGATGGAGTTGGTACCCTTGCAAAGATGAACATGGACAGATCAGGAGATAAACATCCTTTGAGCTGTATGAAGGGCAGACAGCAGATAACATGGCAATCTGCACTGCCTTATGGTTCTGGCCTGGCTTGGTGTGTTGACCTCAAGGCAAACAGCTGGTTGCAATGTTTTTTTCTGTCAGAAGTCAACTGGATTTGTTAAAGGTGATTGGGGAATACTTGAGTGAAATACTTGTCTTCCATGGATCAGTATCTTCTCCTGCTTCAAAGAGGTGAACTACAGCAGAAAAGAAATGGGTGGAGCAAGAAAGTCAACAAGCACCAGGGCTCATCATCTTCACTTTAGCTCTGTGGCAGCAGTCTGCTCAGGGGCAGCAGACTTTCAGAGTGCCACAATCAGGTTTCTTTGCCAAAATTCATGTGCAGGACGGACATCCCAGTTTGGCAAGAAGCAACAAATGAATAAGGAAACATAAAACTGGAAGATCATAAACATTCCAGTGTTTGGTACTGATTGGACACCTAACTTTGAGATTTTGGAGAAGATAGAGGATCTATTTGTCTGTGTTGAGCACAGGAATCCTACAACCCTCTTTGGTCCTCAAAATCTCTTACCTAAGAAAAAATGGTTATGAAATACTGTGAAAATTAAACACGTTCAACAAAATTTATGTGAAGAACTGCTGGCTTGAGACAGCCTGTGGAAGAGGTTGAAGAGTTTTTCTCCTCTTCAGACTTAGCAAGCTAATTTCCAGAACAGAAAATTAAGGCTAAAAAGTAATGCCAATAGTTACAGGAATAAAAGCCTGCAGCCTAGCAAGTGTTCATTCTCTGTTTTATTTGCTCTCCAAGGACAGTCAAAAGAAGTCAGACTCTACCTACACTACTATCTGGCCCCATCAGCAGAGTATGTGTGCTATATCTAGTGACTGTGTCAAGGAAAATCTATTAAACTGACAGTGACAAATACCCAGCTCTCCCCCTTCCAAGGAGACTATAGTCAGCCTTGCTTGTGTTCTCTTTTGTCCCAGGAATTCTTGAGTCCTCTGCTACAGCTGCACAGCTTCAGCAAGAGCTCTGGAGGATAGCCCAAATCCATCTTGGCAACTGGATAATTAACAGCATTTCCCCAGTCAGAGGAGGGACTTCGAACCTGGACCACTGACAACCTGGGTGAATGCTTCAGCCACTGACTACTGTGCAAAATGTGGTTGGGAAAGAAGGTTGTGGACTGACAATAAGAAATTGGTCACCATTTCAGAGGAAATAAGTGTGACTTTTTGGGTTCCTATAAAAGCAGATTGTAAGCATGTACCTTAGGGAGTACATTTACATGCACGTAAGTGTCTCAAGTGAGCAGTTCTTCACATAAATTTTGTTATTACACATGCAAGCATGTACACTTTGGGGTAGTGTCTCAGCTTTGGATTGGGAGTGAGGATCCTGTAGACATGCATCTTGCCCCCACCCACCCAGGCCCTGTAGTTCTCTTTCTCCTGGCTATCTCAGCTATGTCCTGCAGTTCTCTGCTTTGCCTACAACCTGCCTTGAATCCCACTCTAAGCACGTAATCTCCCTGTAAGCTGTGTACTGAGCTGCAGTATTTGCTTAATAGTAGAACACTGGGCAGACAAAATATGTAACTTGTCCTGGTAACTGGACCTTACCAGGCGGATAAAAGTGGTCTCCGATGTGAAAGCAAATTAAGCTGTCCCACATAGGTCAAGAACTCGAACCACTGACTACATGTGCACATGCATGCATACTTTTTATGAGACAAAAACTTTCTGAAGCCAGTGAATTAGAAAAGAACATGCTCTCCATAAGCATCTAGACTATATTTAGCCAAGGATAGAAAAAATAAAAGAGAGGAAAATCTACATTTTTTTCCAAATTATTTGAATGAACATACCCCTCAAAAGGCTGGGATAGATGCACTTATGTGGATACTGATCCACCAGGCCTATCCAGACTGTATTGATTGCCAGCATTTTAAGCCAGCAGAGGAGAAACACATTGATCTGCTGAACAGTGGCTGGAGCCAGTGTATCATGCTGAATATCTGCACATGGAATTGCAGTCTAATTTGGGTCTGAGTCCAGATCCAGGATGCTTTTCAAGTGCATTTTATCCAAGAAGGACTTTTACAAACACTCACCTGCTAGGGTACTCTATTTTTGTCTCTGCCTTTGCTTAGCTGAACAGGACGTGCTTGGCTGATGCAAAAACTCTGCCCAGAGTAAAGTAATGTTCCTGCAGCAGACTTTTCCCTTTCTATCTTTGATTTATGTATCCTTTCTGCTTTTTATTTGGACTGTGACCATTCCCCCCTTTCTCCTCAGTGAGGTAATGTTTACCTGAATTTGTTTATACTTTGGTATCAGATGCTGACCCTCTCTCCTTCACACCATCAGCTGACTCTGCCCATGATGCCAAGTGACACAATGGGTGACAGCAGAGCAGTTACCAGCAGTTGCATCAGAAAAGGCATGTGACACCTGCTCTCAGTAATGAAAAAGAAGAGTGAGCTCACACCGAAGGTGACTCAGCAGTGTTTCTTTGCTGCTTGTTACAAAACAGGCAGGCACACTTTTATCAGTCCTACAGCCCTTTACTGTAAGAGGATTTAAAGAATCTTTACATGAGCCAAATGGCAGGAGCAACCTCAGCTTATATAGACTCAGGGTATTTCTGTCTGCACATGTTTTTATTACCCTATGCTTGATGAGTCTTGCAGTTTCACTCCCAGATGAGAAAGTATCTGAAAGGGCCTGAAACCGCTGAATCATTATTCATCTTCCCAGTTAAACAATATCCAGAACAGGTGGGAAGGAGGAGACTACTGAAGGCCAGCTACACTTTCCAAATCCAAACAGCACATTATTATACAGTTGCTTGAGATTTGACATTTAAACACAGGCAGTAGATAATTTATTTTTCTTTTTTTATCTTGATACAACAAAATGAAGAAATCACTTCAGTGATTGCTCCATTCTCACTCCCTGAGCATCAGCACAGCCAAGTCAGATATGGCAACACACTTTCTGAGCCCTTTTTAATTAAGAATGGTGTGAAACAAGGCTGCGTTCTCGCTCCTACCCTATTCACAGTCTTCTTTAGCATGATGCTCCAAAGGGCCATGGCAGACCTCGATGATCAGGACGGTATCTACATTCGATACCATACTGATGGAAGTCTATTCAACCTAAGGCGACTGAAGGCCCACACCAAGACCTTAAACCATCTTGTC